AGTAAGATTCCTACTTCCAATCGCAGGCAGAGATATTCTAGCACCCGTTTCTTAAGTCTTCAAGTTCTTGTACTGTGCTTGCTGAATCACATTTAGACATAGGAGACACATACCTGAAAGCTTTGTGTGTGTGTGTGTGTGTCTACACAGTATCTCCTGACTATTGTAAAGAGGCATCCTTATTAGCTAAGTCTGCAAGAAAAGTTCCGTTCTGAGGAAACGCAGTGCCAGCAGCTGCATGCTTTGTCTAATTCTGTCTTTGATGGTTCTTAGCATTAGACAGCTTTGGTTTTAATTTTTTTTAATGTTTATTTATCTCTGAGAGAGAGACACACACGGCATGAGTGGAGGAGGGGCAGAGACAGAGGGAGACACAGAATCCGAAGCAGGCTCCAGGCTCCGAGCTGTCAACACAGAGCCTGACGTGAGGCCTGAACTCACGAACTGCGAGATCATGACCTTGAGCCTAAGGTGGACACATAACCGACTGAGCCACCCAGGTGCCCCTAGACAGCTTTGATGTATAAGAATGAGTTCAAAGAAAGCTTGCAAGCACACCAACACCATGCAAGGACAGCTATGGTTTTAATTATTTTTCTCCAAAAGACTTCCCTTTCCAAAGCCACCTTCATGGTATTAAAACACAAACCAGAAAACAACTCCCCCTCCCCGACAAAACCCAAAACCAAGATGGAGAAGAGCACTGACTTTTCTGTCAGATTCAACACCCTCACCTTCACAGATGACCCTGTCTCCAATCCCCCAAGGCCCTCTCTGCTGTCTCACACTGGTGCAGCTCTCTTGTCGTCTCACCCACTTCTTCATGAAGATTCACCCTCCTATAACAAGGTAGAAAGGCCACCCGTGCTCCCTGATCCTTACTTCCGCTGTTCTCAGAGAAGCAGTCTGAGACCAGGGTGGAGCACTGCTTTAGGCAGCCTGTTTCTTTCTGAGCGGACGATGTGCAGCCTCCTCCTATGGCAAAATCAAACCTACCACAGGCCTGTGACTCGCTGGGGCCGTGAGCCTGGGGATCCGGGATGGCTCCCAGAGGAACGTGCAACTGCTTCCAGCTCCTGGGCTGTCCGTGGCCCCGGGCTTGAGAGTGGGGTCACCTCAACTGTCGGGAGGGACTCTCCGCAGAGCCTGCCCACCTCTCATGCTCTCTGACACCTTATCAGCCAGTTCACAAAGGAAGCCTCACCGAAGGCAGAGGCAAGGCTCTACTCTCAGCTGACCCGAGTGCTGAAGGAGATGCCCATTTCCTTACCCACGCCTGCATTTGCTACGGCGCGCAAAGAAGATGAGCCAGTACATAAATAGCTGAGGTGCTGAAGCAGAAAAGCAGCCAGGCAATGTGCAGTGGACTCTGCTTCTACCCAAAGATGGTTTCTATCACCTTGTAGCGGCCATTGCCACTCCTGCTGTAAGCATCCAGAACGACAATGTCACTCCTCGGCACCGCAAACACTAATACTGCTCAAGTTCCTACTGGAATGGCTTCCCTCTTCTCCCAACACCACTGCCACGACCACAGCACACATTTGGCTGTCCCACCGCTAAGACAGCAGGTAAGAAGGAGTGGCAAATGACCAGCGTGGTAAGGCGCCATGGTTGGATAAGCCTCAGTGAGCAAGGCAGAAGAGGCAAGATGAAGGAGACTGGCTGGACTTGAGAAAATACCCAAAGGCTGAAGACTGGTAAACCAGATTCACTTAGTTCACAAGGTCCAACTGTATATGGGATTCTAGGCTGAACCCGGGGTCTAGAGCTGGATGGCACTCTGGTCAGTGTCCCTCTGGTATCAGACATGAAAACAGGACTGTGGATCAGAGCCAGAGGCAGGATGGAGCCAGTTGTTGGATGAATGGTTCAGACTTGACACAAAGGATTACGTGATGGAAGAAACAAGAAGACAAGGAAATTAAGTTGTTAACAGCACAACTTCAAAATTAAGGAATCGGGAACTCCACCGAGGTTGAAGGGGCCAGGCAAAGTAGGAAGAGTGGCTAACACCAACAGAGAGCTAGACAAACAGGTCTCTGGCCTAAGCTTAAGATTTTTCTTGCTACTGGATTTGCTAAAGATAGATTAGAAACAAGTAACTAGGAGCACCTGGTTGGTGTCCAGAGTGGGCAGGTAAGACAAAGCTATACCTTCTGGCAGACGGACCCTGCTAAGCAAACAGAGACTGAATCGGGCCCACTAACGTTTCCACAGGAGTGTATGAGTCCAAAATGGCTGCCCAAGTTTAACACTGGAAGTGGCCATATTCCTAAATGGAGTCCTCCTGCAGGGGCACAGTGCCTGGAATGTGGAAATAGCATGCCCAAGTGGAAAGAAGGTGGAGTTGAGAATCAGAGTTTGCGACTCAATTCTGTCTCTCACTAGCTGTGATTCAGGGTGGGTTACTTACCTTCTCTGAACCTCCATTTCCTCATCTGTAAAGTTAAGTTGTCAGTAGGTTTTGTAATAACAGGTTCTGTAATAATTAAATTAGGGAGCCTCTGTACCGTGCCTAACAGAATACCTAATTCAATGAATGATTGTTCTTACCAATAGTTGCAGGTGCATTATTCACGGAAACACTCCTTATATATGTGGTCAGCGGTAACAATGACAGTAATAATCATCCTACAGACAATAGTGTGGGCGACTCCAGATTTAACAAGCTAATCTGTTTCTGGTAACACCTGAGAGTCGAACCATGGTTGCTTCTCATGGAATTTCCAGCTCTACCCTGGGGGCTGATGTTATACCACTGAGTTCTATGCCACACAAATCAAATCATCGTATCCTTCGCTTCCCTCCCGCACTCCTTTCCTTGATCCATTTATCAGCACTGAGTGTACTCCTAGCACTTGGTAGGAGTCAGCGATGGTATACGCAGCAGCTGGTAAAACAAGTTTGGGCGGTTACTGGGAAGTGGTAAATACAAGTTTGGGTGGTTACTACAGAGGGTCTTGACATGAGAAGGAAGACAGAACTTGTATTTTTATTTTTTAAAGAAGGCTTCATGCTCCATGTGATCAATGGCAGGGCTTCACCTCACGACCCTGAGATCAAGACCTGAGCAGAGACCAAGGGTCAGATGCCTGAACTACTGAGCCACCCAGGCTCCCAAGGTCAGAACTTTTAAAAAGCAGGATATGGTAATCCTCAAATTGTACCTTCTCTTTTGAGTCATCTGCGTTTGTATACTGCTTCATGTTCTTATATATGAGCTATCTTACTCAACTTCAAAATATCTCTAAAGTAAACAGGATAAATGCTATTATTTTTGGTTTATGGATAAAGCCAATGAAGCTCAGAAGAGTTTCAGTGATTTACTCCAGGTCATGTACCATGGAGTGATGGAACTAGGTTAGAACCTGGATCTTTGGATCTGTAGCTTGGTGCGGGACCGCTGTAATTGTTTTATAATCGGTGGTTATTGTTTTATTACCTGTTGTAAAAACCAGAGGTACAGGTACCTTTAGTATTTTTAATTAATCTCTTTATATTTGATTTTTTTCACTTGATTTAAAAAAAAAATTTAAGTTGATTTATTTATTTTGAGAGAGAAAGAGAGCATGAGCAGGGGAGAAGGTGAGGGAGAGAAAGAATTCCAAGCAGGCTCCACGCTGTCAGTGTAGAGCCCAACACTGGGCTTGATCTCACAACTGTGACATCATTACCTGAGCTAAAATCAAGAGTTACACGTTTAACCAACTAAGCCACCCAAGAGCCCCGTGATATTTTTCTCAATTGAAAACAAGCTCTGATTTCTTAGAAATGTAACTGACTTCTGAAACAGCTTTATTTCATCTTGTTAATTTTCTAAATATAGAATTTAATTATATTTATAGAAAAGTAATCTTCATAAACTGGATAATTACTTGTTATTATTCAAATTGATTTTCATGTTTCCCAGTTATTTTTAATTAAAAATAGTATGTATACTATATTTTATTATTTTTTTAAACATTTATTTATTTTTGAGACAGAGAGAGACAGTGAGTGACTGGGAAAGGGGCAGAGGGAGAGAGACAGAGAGAAAGGGAGACAGAGAATCTGAAGCAGGCTCCAGGCTCTGAGATGACAGTACAGAGCCTGACACGGGGCTCAAACTCATGAGCCTTGAGATCGTGACCTGAGCCGAAGTTGGATGCTTAACTGACTGGGCCACGCAGGTGTCCCATGTACTGTGTCATGGTGGGAAAGATCTCCTTTCAAGGACTAGTAAGTGATTTACTCCACTGCCACTGGCATAAATTATTCATTATGAAAAATGCTTTTATGAGTAAGACCATAGGAGGCTTACTATGATGGCTTAGGGTTCCATGGGGCCTCATATTTAAAAAAAATTTTTAAATGGTACCTTTGTTTCCTACAAGCTAACAAAGTGCAATTCTTGTGAAAATAAATGTATGTTTTATTAAAACGGGCCAGCATAGAAATCTAGAGTGTGTCATATATTATTTGTTAGCTGGTGTGACATTTCCAGCTCAGCAGGCAGATCAGGCAATTTTCAAGTTTTAAAAATTGTGGAGTCTGGTTATCTGGCAATTCTAACCATTCTAAGCCAATACAAACTGCTCTACGTTGAATTTAACATCGAAACAGATATATTTGTACCAGTAGATGAACTCTGTACCAGTACTGAACAACTCCTTATTGTTCAATATCCCCTGTCGATTTTATGGTCTTCAATGTATAATATATACACATATGTTTTAATTCCTTTTTCAGAGCAAATCATCTCCTGTCACTTATGTTCTGTCCCTAAACAACATTTCAGCACAGATTTGTTTTCAAATACAAGGTCCCTAACTGAAATAAACATTTTTGGTCAACTGGGAATGAATGATGTTCTGTCCATTACAAAACTAGATGCAGACAGGCAATCTCCAAGGTGAACAGAATGAAGGAAACCATCCTCTCCTTCCCAGTCAGGGAACCAAAGGCTTTCCGTCCTATCTCCGGCTTCTCTGCTTTGCCATGCAAACATGCTTACTTACCGAGTGGAAGAAACGCAAGGCGGTTTCCAGCCATGGAGAGCTCATTGAGGCTGGGCAGCAGGCAGAGGTGGCGCGGCACACACCACAGACGATTTCGGTCCACAGTGAGGTACTGCAGAGAAAGGCACAGGTGAAGCCTCTCGGGTAAAGTTAGCAAACGATTGGTAGAAATGTCTAGTGTCTGCAGCTCCTTCAAATCGCCAACCTCTACAACCAAAATCAAAATTAAGATAAATCGCAGCCTGATTAAATTAAGTAAATGAAATGAATCATTACTGTAACAGTTCAAACAAATAAAATCAGCAGTTGCCATGATTTCCAGACACATGAATGCTAAAGTATGCAAATCATCCAACAGAAGGAGGTGTTTTTAAATGAGCTTGCCCAATTTTTTTTCTTAATGGAGAAGAGGGCTAGTTGGAACAGGGAGAGACACAAAGTAGTGAACATGAACTATTCTAGTCTGTTACTAGGGCTTCTGCTTCTTGATGAAATCAAAAGATGTGGGGCGCCTGGGTAGCTCAGTCGGTTGGGCATCCGACTTCAGCTCAGGTAATGATCTCACGGTTTGTGGGTTCGAGCCCCATGTCGGGCTTTGTGCTGACAGCTAGCTCAGAGCCTGGAGCCTGTTTCAGATTCTGTGTCTCCCTCTCTCTCTGACCTTCCCCTGCTTATGCTGTCTATCTCTCAGAAATAAACACATTAAAAACAAACAAAAACAAAAAAAACAAAAGATGTTGCTCGTGTGGGAAAAGAACAGTTACAGTCACTTCGAGGTAACTGGTCTTTGCTACTTTTGTGACTTGTATCCAAGTAAATAGTAGGAGACTTAAAAATATATAGTATCCCAGAGAATGCATCTTGTTCATATGAACTAAACAGAAAAATTTTTGGACAAAATATTAGTATGTCTTTTGGAAATTTTCACCATGGTCAAGAATATAAGGAGATTAAATTATTGGTAGGTAACATTTTTAGATATTGTCCAGCCATGTGGTTCTTTATCACAAACCCACTGAAAGTATACACATCCTATGAAGATTTCCTTTAATTCCACCCAAATGAAGTCCTTCCGTTCACTTCAATATGGCCTCACTGTTGACACCCATATTGTAACTTGTTCCGCAGGGAGTATAATTAAGGTTCTTACAAGGGACTTCATCCTTCTCAGGAAAGATCACTACCAAGCCTCTCTATGCAGAGTAAGGTGTGCTCGCATTCTCCAGGGAAAGGACAGCACAATGCATTCAAGGCGCTACAGGAAGCCCTGTGAAGGGCAGATCTATTTCTTCTGCATCATGAACTTCCAAGTTGCAGACCTCGGGGGCCATCTCTTGGCCTTCTCTAATCATGGTCCTGTTCCATAAGCCAGTCCTCTCAGGGTGAGGTTTCCCATGTTCCTGCTACTTTACTGTACCCCCTGGAGACATCTCAGTTGTTCAGGGCTTGGGTTAGTATGAGCAATGTCTTCTCTAATGGACAGCAAATCTTCTGCTCTCTTGGATGCCCAATTACACAGATTACCTTTTCTTACTGCTATAGACCAAGGGTTGGCAAACTCTGGCCCCTGGTACACTTCGGTACTGCCTGCAAGCTAAGACTGGCTTCTATATTTTTATTTTTACTATTCTTTTTTTTTAATTTTAGAGACACAGAGCACCACCAGGGGGAGAGGGACAGAGAGAGAGAGAGACAGACAGAGAGAGTCTTAAGCAGGCTCCATGCCCAGTGCAGAGCCCAATGTGGGACTCAATCCCATGACCCTGGGATCATGATCTGAGCCAAATTCAAGAGTTGGACACTTAATGGACTACGCCACCCAGGTGCCCAAGGTTTTTACATTTTTAAAAGGCAGTTGGGATGCCTGGGTGGCTTAGTCCATTAAGCATCCCGATCTTATATTCAGCTTAGATCATGACCCCAGGGTCATGGGACTGAATCCTGCATCAGGCTCTGTGCTGAACATGGAGCCTGCTTTGGATTCTCTCCCTCCCTCTCCCTCTGCCCCTCCCCTACTTGCATGTGCTTGCACCCTCTCTTTCTCTCTCTCTCTCTCAATAAGTAAATAATAAATAAATAAATAAATAAATAAATAAACAAGGTGATATAAAAAACCTCAACAAAGGCAAAAAAGAATACATGGCAAAGACTGTATGTGCCTGCAAAGCTTAAAAATATTTACTATCTTGCCATTTATGGATAAAGTTGGTCAATCTTTGTTAGAGACTGTTACCTGAAGTATTTTTAGTAACTATTTTTAATAAAAAGTAATACTAGTACAAAATGTATTAGTTTCTAGTTATTTTTGTAATATTACAAGTGATTTGTGCTAGGAAATTCATACTTTATTGCCCAATTTCCCTAATGCTGGGCAATGTATGCATTTGCAAAAGGGCAGGGAGGGTTCAGGGAACAGTCCGTGATGCTTAACTAGACTTTTGTTCTATTTGAACCAAACAGGTGCACACTGGAGTCCATTTCATTCTTGGTCCCATTAGGACAGTATTTCACTTAAGTGCATCTGCCTACCTGTCTACCTAATTCATACCAAAAAAATGTTTCTGCTTTCTGATGGGGTGAGGAAGTTGAGGGAAGAATCACTGTGTTCTAGAATTGAATAAATAGCACCAAGAAACTTTCCTGACCTCACTTTATAAAGTGATTATAGGAGTGAAGTGGGACAGAACACCATGGGGCCAGGCACCAGAGAAAAAGGTCTCCACCAGTGAGAATCGCATTATGTATAAGAGGCAATGCATGATAGGAGGTCAGAGAAAGAAGAGGTAGATGAGGGGTTGGAGATGTTTTGCAAAATGTACTGGAGGAGACAAGAACTTGAATAGGTGAAAAGAAAAATGGGTAGCATTCCCAGCAGGGGATGGGCATGGGGCTGGAAAGATCTGGAAAGGCATGGAAGTGAAATAATAAATACAGCCTACACATTGGGCTATTTGGAGCCTAACAAGTATCAAGGATACCTATGGGAGAAGAGTAGGAAATCAGTTCAATGCAAAAGGCTTTGTGGAGGCATGAGTGATAATACTGGGTAGAGAAGCTTGGATTTACTGTAGTGAGAACATGATACTTCCTGAAGATTCCTGAAAGATAATAGCACTCTTTTGGAAAAACTAGAATGATGGATATATAAAAAGCAATGGAATGGAAAGAGATTCTAGGCTGAGAAAACAAGCAGACATTTGATGAGAACAGAGGCAGTGTGACAAATTCAAAGAATTCCAGAAACATTTTAAGAAAAGCATCAAGTATGCTTGATGAGAAACAGAAAACAGTGAAATAAAAACTGGTCAAGGATAATTTTAGCATTTCTAGATTGCTACACTCTAAGTATGGTGATGCCAATGCCAAAAACTTAATTTTTTTAAATCAAAAGTCTAAAATTATATCAATACTTCTGAATTGCAGTATCTATGAAACCATGTATTTAAAGAAATTTGAAAAATCTATCAAAAATCGCATGGGAGCAAGCAAAATAAATTATTTCAATCATTATTTCGAAAATAATCAAAGCTGTAAAAAAGTATTTTGACATGGCTATAAAAATTACTAAGGCTTGCCACTGCCCACCATTGATTCAGCACTGCCTTAATGTATTGTGGGATGGGGAAATAATATGTGATTATGATTTAAAATTTTCCATAATGTGATGATTTACTTTTTACAGTGGTGACAGATCAATATTTATACTCTATTTTGGCACACATCCACACATACTTCAGATACTAAAATTAATAACTCTTCTGACCAAAAAAAAGCCAGAAACACAATACTGTCAGTACCAAAGGTCAAAGGACTAAGGAACTAGAAGAAGACGAAAAGCTGACATTTCTTACTTCCTATATGAGAAGAATAAAAAGCATTTTATTAAATCTGAAACATGCAGGACCGCATATATTAAGTGAAGGAATCCAACAAAAAGGACATTATTCTCTTAGCTTACTATTTAGGCCTTTCAAACTGTGACAAAAAACTCGAACTATTATTTCAATTGAAGTAGTGAGTTGAGTACTATGTATAATGTCTTTGGAAAATAAATTGTTCTGTCATACTAATAAAGTATGTGAGAAAGAGAGAGAAACAAAATTAAATAGCTTCTCAGGTAGACTCAGTTAAACCTAATTTTCATGACCATTTTATACCAGGCCACAAAACTAAGACTAAATATGGTTATCTTAACTTCAATAATCAATTAAAAAATATACTTGCTTAAGCTCAGCCAATGGAAAATACATTTTTAGAAAGTGATGGAGTCAAACAAAAATTATCTGAGATTCTAACATTTTTTTAAAGTTTATTTATTCATTTTGAGAGAGGGAGAAAGAGAGAGAGAAAGACAGAGAATCTGAGGCAGGCTCTGTGCTGTCAGTGTAGAGCTTGACATGGGGCTGAACCTCATGAACCATGAGATCATGACCTAAGCCCAGGTGGGATGCTTAACTGACTGAGTCACCCAGATGGTCCTAAGATACAAAAGAAAGAGCCTGGGATAGCAATACTTCAGACAGAAATAAAGAAACAGAATCATAAGGGTGGGCTCAAGTTAAAAACTAGGCAGCTGTCAGCCAAACATAAATCTAGCAAATGTGGTCATGTCTGAAGACTACACTGAGGCCAGGACAACAGGATGCTCTTAAGTAACTCTGCTACTCTTCCTTCATTCCTGAAAATCCGAGATTCCTGCTTTTATCAGCTTAGTCAGACTGAAAAACTGTTAGCACTTCTTGTAAAGCAGGTACGCTGACAACTAATTCTCTTCGTTTTCCTTTATCGGGAAGTGTCCTTAGATCATTATAATTTCCTAAAGATTATTCTGATTAGATACGGAATTCTGGGTTGACCATTCTTTTCTCTCAGTACATCTTCCCCCCCCCACCTTAAATAGTTTATTGTCAAGTTGGTTTCATTTAACACCCAGTGCTCCACCCCACAAGTGCCCTCCTCCATGCCCATCTCTCCCCTTCCCCTCTCCCCAACCCCCACTAGCCCTCAGTTTGTTCTTAGCATTCAAGAGTCTCTCATGGTTTGCCTCCCTACCTCTCCCCAACTATTTTTCCCCTTCTTCTCCCCCATGGTCCTCCATTAAGTTCTTCCTAAACCTCCTATATGTGCAAACATATGGTATCTGTCCTTCTCTGCCTGACTATTTCACTCAGCATAACACCCTTAAGTTCCATCCATGTTGCTACACA